GATCAAGCCTATGACTTATTGGCATTCCGGAGAGAGAAGAAAAAAAAGTAAGCAACCTGGAAAACATATTTGAAGGAATAATTCAGGAAAGAATTTTCCTAGTCTTACTAGAGAGATATTGAGATACAAGAAATTCAGACAACTTCTGCAAGATACTACACAAGATAACCATTGCAAAGCATACAGTCATCAGACTTTCCAAGATCAATGTGAAAGAAAAAATCTTAAAGGCAGCTGAAGAAAAGGACCAAATTATCTCTAAAGGAAATCCCATCAGACTAACAGCAAACTTCTCAACCAAAATCTTACAAGTCAGAAGAGACTGGGGCCTATTTTTAGCCACCTAAAAGAAAAAAAAAAAAAAGTGCTTGTCAAAGTTTCATACTCTGCCAAACTAAGCTTCATAAATGAAGGAGAAATAGTTTTTCCCAGACAGAGAAATGCTAAGGGAATTCATTAACACCAGACAGGCTCTAAATAAATGTCCAAAGGCGTTCTAAACATGGATGGTACTTGCTACCATAAAAGCACATGTAATTACGAAGCTCATAGACCCTATAAAGCAGTACATAATTGGGTCTACAAAGCAACTAGCTTAACACTATGACAAAAATAACACCTCACACATGAATATTAACCTTGAATGTAAATGGCCTAAAAGCTCCACTTAACAGGCATAGAGTAGTCCAGGCATGATGGCTCATACCTGTAATCTCAGCACTTTGGGAGGTCAAGGCAGGCAGATCACTTGAGGTCAGGAGTTCGAAACGAGCCTGGCCAACATGGTGAAACTTCATCTCCACTAAAATACAAAAATTAGCTGGGCGTGGTGGTGGGTGCCTGTAACGCCAGCTACTCGGGAAGCTGAGGCAGGAGAACCACTTGAACCCAGGAAGCAGAGGCTGCAGTGAGCCAAGATCGCACCACTAAACTCAGCCTGGGTGACAGAGTGAGACTCCATTTAAAAAAAAAAAAAAAAGGCATAAGGTGGCAAATTGGGAAAAAAAAAAATCAAACTTTCTGTGGCCTTTAAGAGAGATCTATCTTACATGTTATAGCGCCCAGAGGCTCAAAGTAAAGGGATAGAGAGAGATCTGTTATGCAAATGGAAAACAAAAAAGATCAGGAGTTGCTATTCTTGTATCAAGTAAAACAGACTAAACCAACAACGGCTAAAAAAAAAAAAAAAAAAAAAAAAAAAAAAAAAAAAAGACAAGGAAGGGCATTATGTAATCAGAAAGCATTCAATTCAACAAAAAGATTTAACTATCCTAAATATATATGCACCTAACACTGAAGCACCCAAATTTATAAAACAAATACTACTAGACCTAAGCAAAGAAATAGCCATACTATAATAGTGGAGGACTTCAACATCCCACTGACAGCACTAGACAGATCACTGAGGCAGAAACCTAATAAAGAAACTTTGGACTTAAATTGGACTCTTGACCAAATGAATCTAATAGATGTCTATAGAATACTCTATCCAACAACCACAGAATATACGTTCTTCTCCTCTGTACACAGAACATTCTCTAAGATTGACCACATACTCAGTCATAAAGCAAGTCTCAATAAATTTTTTTAAATGAAATTATATCAAGTATCTTCTCAGACAACAGCAAATAAAAGCAGAAATCAATGCCAAGAGGAACTCTCAAAACCACACAAATACATGGAAACTAAACAACAGAATCATTTTTGGGTAAACAATAAAATTAAGGCAGAAATAAAAAAATTGAAACAAATGAAAGTAGAGACACAATGTGTCAAAAACTCTGGAATACAGCAAAAGCAGTGTTAAGAGGAAAGTTTATAGCACTCAATATCTACCTTGAAAAGATAGAAAGATCTCAAATTAACAACATAATACCACACCTACAGAACTAGAAAAAGAAGAAGAAACAAAACCCAAAGCTAGGAGAAGGAAAGAAATAACTAAGATCAGAGCAGAACGAAATGAAACAGAGACCAAAAAAAAAAACAAAAACACACATACACAAAGGATCAATGAAATGAAGAGTTGGTTATTTGAATGATTGATAGACCACTAGCTAGATTAACCAGAAAAAAAAAGATCCAAATAAACACAATCAGAAATTACAAAGGTGACATTACAACTCATACCACAGAAATACAAAAGATCCTCAGCGACTACTATGAGCATCTCTATAGGCACAAACTACAAAACCTAGAGGAAATAGTTAAATTCCTGGAAGCACACAACTTCTTAAGATTGAACCAGGAGAAACTGAAATCCTGAACAGATCAATAATGAGTTATGTAATTGAATCAGTAATAAAAATTCTACTAATCTGAAAGAGCCCTGGACCAGACAGAATTTTACAACTGAATTCTACCAGATATGCAAAGAAGAGCTGGTACCAATCTTACTAAAACTATTCCAAAAAATTGAGGATGAGGGATTCCTAACTCATTCTATGAAACCAGTATCATCCTGATACAAAAATCTGGCAGGGACACAATAAAAAAAGAAAACTACAGGCCAATATCCCTGATAAACATAGATGCAAAAATTCTCAACAAAATACTAGCAAACTGAATCCAGCAGCACATCAAAAAGATAATTCATCATGATCAAGTGGGCTTTATGCCTAGGATGTAAAGATGATTCAACAGATGCAAAAAAAAGATGCTATTCACTGCATAAACAGAATTTTTAAAAACCATATGATTATCTCAATAGATGCATAAAAAGCATTCAATAAAATCTTACATCCCTTGCATGATACACACCTTCAACAAACCAGCCATCAAAGGAACATAACTCAAAATAATAAGAGCCATCTATGACAAACCCATAGCCAACATCATGCTGAATAGGCAAAAGTTGGAAGCATTGCCCCTCATAACTGGAACAAGACAAGGACGTCCACTCTCACCACTCCTATTCAACACAGTACTGGAAATCCTGGCCAGAGCAATCAGTCAGGAGAAATAAAAATAAAAATAAAAAAGCAATCATCCAAATAGGAAAAGGGGAAGTCAGATTATCTCTGTTCACCAAAGACATGATCCTGTATCTAGAAACCTCTAAAGATTCCTCCAAGATACCCCTAGACTTGATAAACAAGTTCAGTAAAGTTTCAGGTTACAACATCAGCATACAAAAAATCAGTAGCATTTCTATACACTAAAAATGCTCGAGCTGAGACCCAAATCAAGAACTTAATCCCATTTACAACAGCCACACACACACACACAGATAAAATAAACAAAATACCTAGGAATATATTTAACCAAGGAGGTCAAAGATCTGTACTGGGAGAACTACAAAACACTGATGAAAGAAATAATAGACAACACAAATGGGAAAACATTCCATGCTTGTGGACTGGAAGAATCAATATTGTTAAAATGAGCATTCTGTGCAAAGCAATCTAAAGATTCAACGCAATTCCTATCAAGTTACCAATGTCATTTTTTACAGAATTAGGAAAAACATTATAAAATTCTTATGGGGCTGGACATGGTGGGTCACACCTGTAATCCCAGCACTTTGGGAGGCTGAGGCAGGAGGATCACTTGAGGTCAGGAGTTCGAGGGCAGCCTGGCCAGTATGGTGAAACCTCGTCTCTATCAAAACACACAAAAATTAGTAGGCGTGGTGGCATACACCTATAGTCCCAGCTACTTCAAGAGACTGAGGTGGGAGAATCACTTGAACCCAGAGGCAGAGGTTGTAGTGAGCCGAGCTTATGTCACTACACTCTAGCCTGGGTGACAGAGTGAGACCCTGTCTCAAAAAAAAAAAAAAAAAAAAAAATCCCCATGGAACCAAAAAAGAGCCCGAATGATTAAGGAATCCAAAGCAAAAAGAACAAATCCAGAGGCATCACATTACCTAACTACAAACTATACTACAAGGCTATAGCAACAAAAACAGCATGGTACTGGTACAAAAATAGACACATAAATCAGTGGATAAGAATAGAGAACCTAGAAATAAAGTCACACACCTACAGCCAACTGATCTTTAACTAAGTTGACAAAAATAAACAATGGGGAAAATGATACCCTATTCAATAAATGGTGCTGGGAAAACTGGCTAGCCAAATGCACAAGAATAAAACTGGACCCTCACCTCCCACCATATACAAAAATTAATTCGAGATGGTTTACAGACTTAAATATAGGATGTCAAACTATAAAAATGCTAGAAGAAAACCTAGGAAAATCTCTTCTCGACATTGGCCTATGACTAAGACCTCAAAAGCAAATGCAACAAAAACAAAAATTGACAAATGGGACTTAAATGTAAAAAGCTTCTGCACTGCAAAAGAAATAATCAACAGAGTATACAGTCAACCTACAGAATGGGAGAAAATATTTGAAAACTATGCATCTGACAAAGGACTAATATCCAGACTCTATAAGAAACTTAAATCAACAAGAGAAAACCAAATAACCCTATTTTAAAAATGGGCAAAGGACATGGGTAGACACTTATCAAAGGAAGACATACAAGCAGTCAACAAATATATGAAAAAATGCACAACATCACTAATCATCAGAGAAATGCAAATTAAAACTACAGTGAGATATCATCTCACAGTAGTCAGAATGGCTATATTCCAGGCATAAGGCAACTGTGCTCTTCACGACTTCTCAATGTTTATTCACATTGAGAAGTAGGTTCTGTCATTCTCTTGAATGAAGCTCACCTGATATGGTAAGTTATCCTCATTTTAAAACATTCAGATTTTATCCTACAATCTTTTCACATGTGACAGTTTTTCTGTTCTTTCTAAGCATGTAATGGAAGTCAAGGAATTCTACATCCTCACGATCTATTAATATTTCTTACCTTCCCACAGCAGTGAAATTCTCATTCTAGTCTTCTGAAACAGAGATAGCTAATAAAGAAAACTCATTTCTTCTTTAACCTTTTCCATGAATTTCAGACCATTCTGGTTTTATTCTTTTCTACACAAAGTTTACTCTTTATAGGTGTTCAATAAATAAAATATAAACACTAATTTTAAAAATAATTTATTAATTTGATCTCTTCATTTAAAGATAATATCCAATGCCTCCAAGTTCCCACCCAAGAATTCTGTTGCACAGGACTGGAAAAGTTCTGGAGAACATTCTTCTAGACCCTCTAGGCATCATGTCACAGGATGTCCTCGCCACAGCTGGAAGAGTGACTCTGAGTACATGAACGAGGGGCTACAGTGGACTGTGCAGTACCTAGGGAGGGAGAGACAGGGTTGCAATGAAGTCTGGAGGGATTAGGGAATTCACTGATTGTACCAAACAAAAACTTATATTTCTTCTCTCCTATTCCATACCCAGGTGAAAGTGGGAAAGACAGGAAGAGAGACCCCAAGCTGCTTTCTAGTCGACAGCTAGTGACTCTCTGATTATCTGCAAAGATTGGGAAAGGAACTTAAACATGACATGTAGATTTTCCAGAACTATTTACTCCTGGAGCTAGGAGTCTGTGAACACGTAGGTGGGATCTTGTAAGAAGCAGCCTTATCTAGATTGGGAATAAGCTATGATAGTTTTAGGCTGTGTGGATCTGGTCAATTTTTGTGCTGCCTACTTCTCTTTGCTTCTATGACTGGGCATTGCTGCAGAAAGGAAGAAATATGGAAATGACTTCATCTTTGATTTTTTTCCTTCTGGAAGCCAGAAAACTCCAGTTTTCTTCCCTGAGCCCTTTTTCTGTTGCAGAACTGCGGTGTGGACTACAGGTCCTACCTATGGAAGATGGAGGTAGATACTTCACAGGGAATAAAAGCAACCCAGACAAGTCGCATCTTTAGGTAACAGATACTTTCAAAAATGTACTTTCCTGCACCCATTAAAATTTTAGTCTCAGCCAGTCAGAAAACCTGGTGTCCTCATGCACTGGCATAACAGTGCAGTATGGCTCAGGCTCAGGTTTTGCTGGGCACACCACAGTAGGCCACACACTCTCACATGCAATGGCTTCAGGTATGGACCAGGGTCTTTCCCCCTAACTGGCTTTGGTTATGATGTTGTAGGTCATCATTCTTCTGGCCTTAATATGAGAGAAGAAGGGGTGTAGAATAATTGGTCTCCAAGTGAGAGCATCCAGGGTGAAGAGTGTGGGAATAAAGGTCGTTAGCACAAGAGAAGAGGCAGGTGATATCCAAGGCATATAGTAATGGCATAAAGGTGGAATGTTGCTCTCATTCTGCTGAAGTGGGCACCATGGAAACCTTGGTGCTACCAGTCGCCAGTCAGGCCACAAGCCCAAGAACAGCACCAGGCAGTATAAGGACATATAAGAATGGCATCACTTCAGATAGTCCTGAGAATGAGACCTAGCCCTGTTTGGGGCAAACCACTCGCTGGGAGCAATAGTACCCTTCCTGCTTCCCTATCTGGGCTGATTGTAAGGAACAAATGAAATCATGCACACCAATGTGCTTTACACCTGTAACACTCTGCCCCAAGAAGCGATATGCCCTTTTGAGACTCCCTAGATGTGGACAGAAACATAAACTTTCTGCCTTTCTACCTTTTCCTTGGTCACCATTGCTGAGCACATGCTCCAGCCTCTCCCTCAGGCGGTCATTGAGGCTGACAGACTCCTCCAGGCGCTGGCGCAGTTTCTGGATCTCAGCAAGATTCTTTTCCAGCAGGTCAGCCGGTACTGCAAACCACCAAGACATAGGAGAGGTAGGAGGTGGGGAAGCCTGATCATCCCTGGGCAGCTGTGGGGCCTGCCTGGCATCTGTCTGCAAGATCCCTACCTGTCTCTATCCTTCCGTCAGCTTCTTCCTCTCTCCTTGGCATTTCTCTCTCCTTGGCATTGAGGAAGCACCAGGCAACTTTAGTTAAAGCTCCTGGGCTTTCAACCACAAGGTGGCCCCTGTGAGGAAACACCACAGGCCTCCTCCCAGACAGAGATCACCAAGTACATCTAAGGGAGATGGACACGGGGTGAGAAACTACTAAAGGCCTCTAGGCAGAACTGGCCTAGTAATGGGAAAGGCTGTCTACCTCCTGGGCATGGATAGCAATCCAGAGAATCTCTCTCTCCATCTCATCCCTCTCTCCCATGATGATCCCAACTCAACAGCCTTTGAGATTCACTCACTTACAGAGAGAAAGACCAAGGTAAGTGCATATGAAATTAAACCAGGCTGTGAATAATGAGTAATAGTGAATGTTCTCCTTTAACCAGCTTTGGCAAAAAAGGAACATGAAAGAGCCTGGGGAGGTGTCAGGATCTGAAGTGGGAACAGGAGAGAAGGGAACAATCTCCAAGGAAGGAAAAAGATGCACAGAGGGAGGAGGCTGAGAATAGGCTTTACCCACTGGGAGATTTTGCGTAGGGTCAGGTTTTTCTCTGAGAATTTAAAATGTCATATTGTTATATTACCCGGGACACAGAAATGGAGCTACTTCAAGCCATTCCTCTAAATAGCTGCACTCCTAGCTGCTGGGTGCCAGGATGCTTGGCTCCAAATCCAAAAGCAATGTTTATGGGGGCAGGATTGGCTCGTGGTTGTATGCATGGTGTGTGTCAAAGAGTGGAAAGAGTGTGTAGGGGTGGGTGACTCTGTAGAAATAGTTTTCCATCCTACAGTAGCTCTTGACCTAAGGAAGACCTTCCCCATGGAATCTGAGCTTAGCATTCCAGGGCAGTCTTAATCTAGGCTTAAGAAGGTTGTAGTACAGAGAGAAGCCAGCATTTAAATGTGAGGTAACTTATCCTCCTTGTAGAGCACCTCAGAATGTCCCTGACTTCTCCTACTCTCCTGCCCAGAGTGAGTTCCTAGGTAGGATGACTAGGAGAAGGCACTTACAAAGAACCAGCACTGAGCTGGTTCTCACTGTCTGGCTTATCCACATATTGTCCCATCATTTTTTATGAGCCAAGTTCTAACAGAGGAATCAAAAAATCCTCTGGCCAGGAAAGGAATGTGTCATTCCTATCAATGGGCTCGATTTCACCAAGTGCACCTTTGTGTTTTACCAGAGGTTTCGGAGTTGGGCTGGTACAAACAGGAGAAGGAGGCTAGGTCTCCAGATGCATTCATTTTTTGAGGCCTCATCTCTTCCCATGGGCCACTGCTACCGTGTTCTAGTGTCCTGCTCAGCTGGCCAGTGCCGCTTGAAGGATGGAAGGGCTGAGCAGACCTGGCTCCTTGGTTGCTGGGCAAAGCAGCTGAATCAGCAGAAGTGGCAGCGCTGGCATCTGTCCAGAAAGGAATGTGAGTGAGAAACCAACAGGGAAGTCATAAATGAGTGTTTTAAAGGTAATTATAGTGAGTTGAATAGTGTCCTCCAAAAATTCATTCAGTGAATGAATTCATTCAGTTCACTTGGAACTTCAGAATGTGATCTTATTTGTAAATGGGGTTTTTGCAGATGTAATAAGCTAAGATGAGATGACACTCAATTGGGGGTATGTCTTAAATCCAACATGACTGATGTCCTTATGAGAAGAGAGGAGACACAGATAAAGAGACACATAGAGAAGAAGACCATGTAACAACAGAGGTAGAGATTGGGGTGATGTGTCTACAAGCCAGGGGAACACCCCCAGAAACCACCAGAAGCTAGGAAGAGGCAAGGAAGGATCCTTCCCTGGAGCCTTCAGAGGGAGCATGACCCTGCTGACTTCCTGATTTCAGACGTTTTCACTTCCAGAACTGTGAAAGAATACATTTCTGTTTTAAAACGCCCAGTTTGTGTTTCTTTGTGTTGGAAGCCCTCGAAAACTAATAAAGCAATCCATGGAATGAAGGCTAAGGCAGATGTCATCAGATTCATTTTCCAAGGACTCCCCATTTCACTCTAAAGTCACTGGTATTTCTCATCCTATGACATAAGCAGTAGTGGTTAGATATGATATCTGAGCATCACAGCACACACAGGAAAAATATGGGGCCCCTCTCCTAGCTCCTTTTATGATTCCCAATGCTGGAAAGATCCTGGGGAGGTACTTCAGAAATGTTTCTTCTAATAGCAGGACTCACACCCAGTCCTAGGAGTTCAGACAGTGAGGGATGAAGCATTTTGTTGGTCTGTAAACAGGTGACTATTTATTCAACATTCTATGCCCTTGCCAGAAAGACACCAGCTACTCCTTCCTGGGATTGTTTTACATTGAGGCTATTGGAGGAGGAGGGGAAAATGGCCTCCACTTCTGGACAATGTGCAGAGAACCGAGACAGTGTTGCTTCCACTCCTAGTGGTTCTCGTTCTGGCCTCGGCTGACTCTGGACCTGCAGTGAAGCTGAGCGGGTGTCTAAGGCAAGTGGTGATTTGGATTCTACCTAGAATGGCTTTTGACACTGCAAAAATAATTCTTATGTACAGCTCACATTGTCTGGCTCCTATCCAAAGGACAGCTAGTGTACTGTTGCATAGGGGATTGTAGAAGCAGAAAACACATGGCATCTTACAGCTCAGTGATGCCATGACAACATGGCCAGATCCTCTGGGCCCTTCATTACTGTCTCCCTTTGAGAGAAAAAACCCAGCTGCGGTGGCAGGGCCATAATTCAGAGAAAAGTTTGAGTCTTTCCCCTTTCAAGGATTATTATCAAGGGCTAAAGAATAGACAAGTTTCTCCTCTGAGCAGGTGGGAGTGAGGTTTCTGTTTGCCCTCAAAACATCATGTTCTTTTAGGAACTGTATATTTAAATCAGTATCCAGTAGGTCTCTCCTTCTCCAGTTGATAAAATATCAGATACTAATTAGAATCACTCTGAAATAAGGAGTAAGGACAACTATGTTAAGTCTTTAATACAATGCCTGACTTAAAGTAGGAACTCAATCAAAATGTGATTCCCACCCCCTTTCAAACCTCCTTTATCTCAGAAAATCAGTTTACTCTCAACCATGGCCATAGGAAGTTCTAAGTTTTATCAGTAACAGTGATCAGTGTTTTAACATTCCCTGGCCATACCACATGGGGAACATGCCCTACACTGCAGATGGAAAGCAACAGAGACTAGACTTTTGTGAGGGAAATTTAGCCTCACAGTGTAGTTGTCATGCCAGTGCACTACAGGTTGACTGTTCTAGAAATTCTGATTGAAAAAGCAAAGAGGAAGTGGTGATAAACAGTTGCCCCTCTGAAAGGACAGTGACTTCCAATGGGAAAGAGAAGGGCTTCAATCTCCCTCAGGAAAGATATTCGCAGCAAAAAGTAAGGCTAGTGCTCTCCAGATGCATCACTCCAGAGGCCACACCTCACTGCAGGCAGTGGCAGGGATTGCAGGTAAGGGAAACATGGGCTTGCCCTTCTGCCATCTCTCGGGGCAGTGCTGAGGTTGAAACAAGTGCCTCTGGGCAACTGAATCAAGGATGCACGTAAAAGTCCCATTGGCCCCTTGAAATAGGTGATGTACACATCAGGGGCAGCTCATCTATTTACAAATGGTTAGATAGAAGTGTAATATGTATAAGGTCTTGTCCCATCTTCAGAGGCCAGAACTCTGTGCTGGGTACACAGAGCAGAAAAAGTGAAATGAGAAAAACACTGGCTCCAGAAGCCTAGCAAAAGAGGTGCTGAGGAGTGAGCACCCTCCGTATGCAGCCCTTGACTTCTCAGGCTGCAGAGTGAAATACTCAGAACCTGAGCTTTGAGTCAGGTAAACTCAAAGCTGCTTTGTCTTCAGTAAGTTCCTCAACTTTGCTGAGCCTCAGTGTCCTCCACTAGAAAAGCAGAACACCACTACCTACTTGAGGGGATCACTGTGTCAATTAAATGAGGCAACATATGTATAGTGGTCAATATTGTGAGCATAATAGGTGCTCAATCAATGAGAAGTTCCTGTCTTTCTTTGGCTGCTATAATCTTAGAGGAAACATTTTGCTGCTTTGCTCCTCATTGTGAAATGAGAAACGGGAGTAGTACCAGATCAAAACCCATTACGGGCTGGGCATGGTGGCTCATGCCTGTAAGCCCAGCACTTTGGGAGGCTGAGGCAGTTGGATCACCTGAGGTCAGGAGTTCGAGACCAGCCTGGCCAACATGGTCAAACCCTGTCTCTACTAAAAATATAAAAATTAACCGAGCGTGGTATCAAGCACCTGTAATCCCAGCTACTTGGGAGGCTGAGGCTGGAGAATCACTTGAACGCAGGAGGCAGAGGTTGCAGTGAGCTGAGATCGCACCACTGCACTCCAGCCTGGGCGACAACAGCAAAACTCCATCTCAAAAACAACAACAACAACAAAAAAAAACCATTATGGCTCATTCATTACCTAAAATAGCCACTTTAGAAAAAAACATCAGCTAGAGCCAGGGACTAAAAATAATTTCCTGGTATTGTCCACATTAGGATTTGATTCATACTGGCCTAAAACTTCAAACACTTTTCTCAGGAGGAAAATTAAAGAGAAAACTGAGCAGGAGAAAAAAACTTAATCTCTTCTTCCCATCTCTACCAAGGCTACCCCAAGGACCCTCTCAGGGAAATTCTCAGGAGGGACATGCTATGCTGGTTGGTGATATACTCAGCTTGAACCTCACAGAATGTCCCCATTTACTGATGGTTTAGAGGGTGTTATAGCAAACTTATTAGGATGATGGATGGGGTCTGTAAATTCACAAATGATAAAGGTGATTTTAGTGGTGAACAAAAAGTAGGAACTGTGGCTGTTTACCCCAGGGATTCCAGGATCAGGTGCACAATGTTAGCAACACTCATGTCCCTAGTTTGAAAGATGACATAATTGTGTGCAGTGAAGAGGAACTATTTGCCCCCTTTCTCCCCTTCCCAACTCATGCCCCCCAAGTCCAACACCATGTATGTGTCAGAGAGGATCTAGTGACTGATGACATGTGAGACTGGGAATGGAGAAAAGCTACCAGAAACCTTTGGGGCTTATGCTGAGCACTGAGTCCCATAGCTATGTCCGACTAGGTGCATCACGGTGGATCTATAGGGCCCAGCTGCAAAGATGCCACCTCTTGGCCTAGATAACGTGTGAGCACCGAAAAACTGGAACCATGTGGGTACTCACTGACTACAGTCACTGAAGGACGCACTTCCTGCTTGTCAAGCTGTGGAGACGTGCTGCTCAGGGAGTGATGTGGGGCAGACCGGGTGTGGTTGTTGCACCAGATCTGGGGCTGAGTCTGGGACTGGGCATCCCGCTTGGTCTCTAGGACTTCTGTCACTTTACTCATATTATGCATCTTCCTCAAGATACTAGTGCGGTAAGAAGGAAGAAAAAATAAAGGCCACCTAATGCCACAGCTGTACTAATCTGGAGGCTCACAGGAGAAGTAAAGGGGAGGTCAAGAGGATCATTCCTTCAGAGGAGAAGCCAAACAATTCATCTCTGTTTAGGGATAGAGTATGGAGAGAAGGCAGGGGGCAGGGAGAGCAGCAGTTGTCTGGTGCATTGGCTACAAACATCCTGAGGAAAAGAGAAGCCTTAACGGGCCCTTTAAATAACACTCATGCTTCCTTCACAAGACACCCAGAGACCCATAAGAGTTCAACTCCAGGTATGGGCATGGTGGCGCATGCCTGTAATCCCAGCAATCTGGGAGGCCAAGGCAGGAGAATTGCTTGAGCCCAGGAATTCAAGACCAAATTGAGAAACATAGTAGAGACCCTCTGTCTACAAAAAATAAAAATAAAAAATGAGCTGGGTGTAGTGGTGTGCACCTGTAGTCCCAGCTACTCAGGAGGCTGAGGAGGATCACTTGAGCCCAGGAGGTCAAGGATGCAGTGAGCAGTGATCGTGCCACTGCATTCTAGCCTGAGCAACAGAGCAAGACCTCATCTCAAAAATAAATTTTAAAAAATGTAAAAAGAAAAAAAAAGTTCAACTCACTCTGTGAACATAGTTTTTTAAATAGTATTTGCCGTAGGCCGTTTAAAACAGATGCCCTGGGCAATGTAGCCTCACTGGTGTCTTGCAGTTTCTAGATCTCCTTCCCTAAGTATAGAGACACAGTATAAACTTTTGTTTGCAAGGAAAATTTGTAGCTGTTTAACATCGTCCAGCACTCCTTGGGTCACCCTTGAAGAAATCAGATATAATCTTACTCTGGTCTTTAAATAAGGGAAATCCCTGGAGGTTCAGAAGACTCCTAAGACCCAGATAGGTTAGAGCAGCTCTATATTACTAAACTGGTGAATTAATTGGTGAAAATAAAAGAATAATACATTTTTAAAAAATTTTTAAAAGTGAGACTGCCTTATCACTAAGGATACATAATGGTTTAATGAATAAATAAGCTATTTGTTTTTTTACTGGCCGTGTATGCTACTATTTCTTTGAGCTTCTGGCTCTTGCTTCTGGATCCTTCACCAGATTACATCTTCGATAGTCCCTGAAAATTTGGAGTTACCTGAGAGTCGAAGGCACCTGTCCTACTTGATTCTTCTTAGTTGTACAGTCATCTGAGAACAAAATTCAAAAGGACCAGTCATGCTTTAAGTGGGTCTCATTTCCCAGACTGCAGACAAACACGGAGTTCTATCTGGGACCAGAGACCTAACTACCTGATGCTTGCCTTGATTCCAGGATACTCTGAATTTTCCCAGATCTTGGGTTGAGTCTTTAGAGAGCTTGCCTGGCAGGCTTTCCTGAGCCCACCATGAAGGTCATCATCTCTACTTGCTTTGCCCTGAGTCACAGCAAAAAGCTAAAAATGTCTTTATTCCCACAGATCATGGGACACGTATCCAGCTGCCCTCTGGACCACTCCAGTCAAAGCCTCCAAGTCCTGGCACAAGGCCAGCACCCAAACGCCTGGCTGTGTGTTCCACCATAGATTTCATGCAGAACCTTCTCCCTTCTCCAAGATGATAGACATCCCTGTCCTACCTGCCATGAGGAGACAGCACAGTGAACTCGCCCTCTGCTACTATGTGCCCTTGGGTCCTCAGGGAGAAATTTCATGTAAAAGGCTCCTGAAACAGCTAATTATCTCAACACCTTGTACTAGTACACACAGCACCTAAACCATGCCAAAGTCAACATGATTCTTTTTCATTTTTTTGAAGTGCGCTGATTAATGTTACTTATTTAATCCCTAGAACAATAATGCAACATTCAAGGACTGGTATTATTTGACTTAATTTTTTAGGTAGAGAAATAGAAATCAAAATAAATATTAACCTGTCCAGAGCTAGTAAGGAACACATATAAGCTAGAGGTAGGGTCTTTGGATTCCCAGTTCAGGGCCCTTCCTAGTTCAGCTGCCCTTGATCCTTCTGTCTTTCTGCCAATTAGTTTCAAATAAATACCATCATCCCCGGGGATGCCTCCTGCCCTCACAGTCATATTCCATGAGGGATGGAGGTGCTGGTGGTCATCATGGCATCCTCAACCCTTCTTCTTGGAGCTCCTCACCAGCCAGTCCTGACTCTGTCATGGTCTTAAGGTGGTAATTACAAAGCAGGACACCAGTTGAAAAGTGACTTGTGAATGGGGGTGGGATCCTGTGAACTTAGGACCTTGGGAAAGACTGAAAATCTTCCTAAGCTCTGCAGCCAACTTACCCGTGCTGAATTTTCTGGCAAGGCTCTCTGCCAGCTGGCTTCCTTTGGCCAGCTGCTCGCGGAAGTGCTGCTCCATATAGTGGTCAATGTTATTGCTGTGGAGTAGCTCCTCAAAGGCCTTTACTGTGTTCTTGACATGCTGAATGAGAAGCTCAGAGGCCACTCTGCCAAGCTTCATCTTCTGCCGTAGATGGGTTAACTCTCGAGCCTGATCCTGAATCAAGGAATGATACTTCCTAAAGTAGAAAAAAAGAAGTAAAGTTGGATAGGAATAACTGATAGGTTATAGCAATTTAGGAGAAGGGACTTGAGAGTATCACCAAAGGAGGCCACACACTGAATTCTAGCATATGTTTAGTGTCCTGAATATGGTAAAAGGAATGAAGGAAATGAAAACAATCTTTATGTGAAAGATCCCTTCTGAGATTGTCATTTTCCCTGCCACTTGCTAAAGAAGAAAAATCACATGATCATATTAATAGATGAAGAAAAAGCATTTGACAAAATTCAACACTCATTCATCATAAAAACTCTCAACAAAGTGGGAATAGAGGAGAACTTCCTCAACTTGATAAAGAACATCTATAGAAACTCTACACTAATGTCATACTAGAAACTAGAAGCTTTCTCACTAACATCAACAATAAGGCAAGGATTTCCTCTCTTACCACTCCTTTTCAACATCATACTGGAAATCCTAGCTAATGCAGTAAGATAAGCAAAGGAAATAAATGGTATACAGATTAGAAAAGACGAACTAAAACTGTCTTTGTTCACACATGATGCAGTTATCTATGTATTATACAAAATCTCCAACATGGTGAAACCTATCTTTACTGAAAATACAAAAATTAGCCGGGGGTGGTGACATGCACTTGTAATCCTTGGGAGGCTGAGGCAGGAGAAGTGCTTGAACCCAGGAAGCGGAGGTTGCAGTGAGCTGAGATCATGCCACTCTGCACTCCACCCTGAGCGACAAAGCGAGACACTGATTCAAAAAAAAAAAAGAAAGAAAAGAAAAAGAAAAAGAAAAGAAAGAAAATATGAAAGAATTGTCAACAAAAATCTCCTGAAACTAGTGATTATGTCAAGGTAAAATCTAACAAAACATGTACAAGATCTGTATGAGGAAAACTACAAAACTCTGTTGAGATCACAGAAGCACTAAATACACAGAGAGATATTCTGTGTTCATGAACAGGAAGACTAAATATTGTCAAGACGTCAGTTCTTCCCAACTTGATCTGAAGATTCAATGCAATACCAATCAAAATCTCAGCAAATAAATCTTGTGAATATCAACTAATAGATGCTAAGGTTTACATAGAGAGGCAAAAGACCCAGAATGGCCAACACAATATTGAAAAGGAACAGAGGGCTGATTTGACCTGGTTTCAAGACTTACTGTAAAGCTACAGTAATCAGGACAGTATGAGATTTGTGAAAGAATAGACAAATAAGTCAGTGGAACAGAATAGAGATTCCAGAAGACTCCAAAATATAGCAGATTGATCTTTGACAAAGGGACAAGGGCAATGGACAAAAGATGGTATTTTCAACAAATGGTGCTGGAACAACTGGACATCCACGTGCAAAAAAAGTGAATCTAGACACAGACTTCACATTCTTCATGAAAACTTACTCAAAATGGATCATAGGCTTAAATGTAAAACAGAAAATGATTATAAACCCCTAAAAGATAACAACAGCAGAAAATCTAGATGACCTTGTGTTTGGTGATGACTTTTTATTTATTTTATTTATTGATCTAAAGATTCAATGCAATACCAATTTTAATTTAGAGACAGTCTCTAAATAAATAAATTATTTTATTTATTTGTTGGAGGGCATGATCATGGCTCACTGCAGCATAATCACACCATGGTGTGATCATGGTGTGATTATGGCTTACTGCAGCCAAACCCTTGGGCTCAAGTGATCCTCTTGCCTCAGCCTTCCAAAGCCTGTGATTATAGGTGTGAGCCACTGAGCCCAGTTATATGATTACTTTTCAGATATAACACAAAAGGCATGATCCATAAAAGAAATAACTGATAATCTGGACTTCATTAAAATTAAAAACTTCTGCTCTGCAAAAGACACATCGAGAGAATGAGAAGACAACACACTGGGAGAAAATAATTGCAAAAGACATATCTGGTAAAGGACTATTATCCCAAATACACAAAGAACTCTTAAACTCAACAATAAGAAAATGAACAACGCGATAAAAAATGAGCAAAAAACCCTGAACAGACACCTCACCAAAGATGACGGTAAATAAGAATATGAAAGGATGCTCAACATCATGTCATTAGGGAAATGCAAATTAAAACAATGAGATACCACTCTACACCTATTAGAATGGCAAAATCCAGTACACTGATAACACCAAATGCTGGTAAGGATGTGGAACAACAGGTATCTTCATTCATTGCTGGTGGGAATGCAAAATAGTACAGCCACTTTGGAAGACAGTTTGGCATTTTCTTGTGAAACTAAACATACTGTTACCAAATGACCTAGCAATCTGCTCCTTAGTATTTACCCAAATGAGGTAAAAACTTAACTTCACACAAAAACCTGCACGTGATGTTTATAGCAGCTTTATTCATAACTGCAAAAACTTGGAAGCAACCAAGATGTCCTTCAGTAGGTGAATGGATTCATTTTGGTACATGAAGTCAATGGAATATTATTTGGTACTAAAAAGAAATGAGTTATGAAGCCATGATGACATGAAAGAAACTTAAGTGTGTATTACTAAGTGAAAGAAGCCAATCTAAAAAAGCTACATACTGTATGACTCTGACTATATGACACTATGGAATAGGTAAAACAGTGGAGACAGTAAAAAGATCAGTGGTTGCCAGGTGTTAGGGTGAAAAGGAGAACGAATAAGCAGAGCACAGAGGATTTTTAGGGCAGAGAGTAGTCATTCATTATAATAGTGGATACATGTCATTATACATTTATACTTGTGTCAAAACCTATAGGATATACACCACCAAGAATGAACCCCACTGTAAACTGTGGACTTTGGGTGATGATGAGTTAACGTAGGTTCATCAATTGTAACAAATGTTATCACTCGCGGGCAAGATGTGGATAGTGAGGGAGGCTATGTCTGTGCATGGGTAAGGGGCATATGGGAACACTGTTACTTTCCACTCAATTTTGCTGTGAACTTAAAACTGCTCTTAAAAAGTCTATTAAGGCCGGGCGCGGTGGCTCAAGCCTGTAATCTCAGCACTTTGGGAGGCCGAGACGGGCGGATCACGAGGTCAGGAGATCGAGACCATCCTGGCTAACACAATGAAACCCCGTCTCCACTAAAAATACAAAAAAAATTAGCCGGGCGTGGTGGCGGCGCCTGTAGTCCCAGCTACTCGGGAGGCTGAGGCAGGAGAATGGCGGGAACCCGGGAGGCGGAGCTTGCAGTGAGCCGAGATCGCGCCACTGCACTCCAGCCTGGGCGACAGAGCGAGACTCCGCCTCAAAAAAAAAAAAAAGTCTATTAAAAAAAGAATGATCACAGGAGTATAATTTTTAAAAATATATTTGATAAAGTAGGTGTAGTGTAGGCTTTGCGAGAGCACAGGATTCTAATGTTATCTCTGCCAGAGGCTATTATGCAACTTTGATCAAATGACTGTCTCTTAGGGCCTAAGTGTTCTCGTTCTAACATGATGAAATGAGACTAACTGACTCTTGAGTTTTTTGGGTGTTTTGTTTTGTTTGAGATGGAATCTCGCTCTGTCATCCAGCCTGGAGTGCAGTGGTGCGATCTTGGCTCACTGCAATTTCCGCCTCCCGGGTTCAAGTAATTCTTCTGCCTCAGCCTTCTGAGTAGCTGGGATTACAGGAGCCCACCACCATGCCCAGCTAATTTTTGTATTTTTAGTAGAGAAGGGATTTCACAATATTGGCCAGGCTGTCTCCAACTCCTGACCTCAAGTGATCCGCCCACCTCAACCTCCCAAAGCGCTGAGATTACAGGCGTGAGCCACTGCACCTGGCCTAGAGTTATTTTACCTCTAACTAACATTATTCTCTGGGTCAGTGAAATTTAAGTGGAATATATTGGGCAGTGACCTAATGGAGCATGAAGCAGGATTTGAATCACTTCCAAAGCTGTGCACCAACCACTTAGACAAATTAGTGATTTCAGTAACTTAGTATTTCAGTAACTGGTGCTCACAGGCAAATGCGTAATGGATTAACCCCATATTATTTAAATGCTTCCAAAAAGCTATAGGAAAATGGCCATTAAAAACTAACTGACAAATCTAGCCAATGGGCCTCTATTTGACAATTCTGCAAGCTTATTTTTAAAATTGAGCTTATCAAAATTGCCATTCCAGAAGCCAGGACCTGAGTTTCCATAGGGGATGGAGTAGAATGGAGGGGCCTCTGTATAAATCTACCTCCTCGGGAACTGGGATGGTTCAGCATTCACCGGAGCAACATATGAAGAAATAGGAGATTCCTACATGCTCCTGGGGATCCAGAAGAGAGACCACTCACGTGACTGGAAGATTTCCAGCTCAGGTAACCATGAAGACCATATATTTGGTGAATACATGCAATGTTAGTTAGAATAAAACCAAATTTCTCTGAATAATATAAAGTCATTACTAATAAAACTTTAATAGATTTTTCTCTAAAGAAATTTCCAGGAAGGTGTTAAGAGAAAGTCCTACAATTAAGGTATGGAGGCTGGCTGCGGGCCCTGAAAGCTACTCTGACGATCGATGACTTAATGCTGATAGTGGGAAGTCTCTTACCCACTGCGGGATACAGAGGAGAATTCTGCTTCCTCAGGCTGAGGCTTCTGCTCACTCACTTCCTTCTCAGCAGGTCCCTTCTTCTCTGAGGGCTGATGCATCCCAGCCTTCAGCTGGGACATTTTCTCATGAAGAGTTCTCTTACAGCCGTCTTTGAAAGGAAGGACAGAGAAGAAAGATGTCTACGTCTCCACAATGGCCAGGCTTTTCTCCAAAGCTACCTAAAGAATTGAAACAAAATTACGGCTTACAGAGATTAGATTATTAGTGAAGATCCTGTAGGAGGATAGAATCTCAAGAGCAGAGCCTACCAGGAAGTAAAGAGTGAAGCATACAACTTCCTCAGCCATGAGGACCCAACAATCCACTGGGTAAAGGAAAGACGCAGCAAGTGCGGGGAGTGGGGTGGGGGGTGTTGTTACGAGGAGGATGTGGAGGTCCCACAACTGTTTAGAAAAAACAGGCAAATGATGAAATAAATGAATGATAACAAATGGGGTTTAAACTGAGCTAAGGGGTAAGTATTTTTGTTTCTTATAGTTGAGATAAGGTTCTTATAAAGTTCCCAGGGAATATTCCTTCAGAAGTCAGGAAGCAATTTTGCTTCCACAAGTTTTGAGAGTCATGAAGGCAGGAACATGGCAGAGCTCAAATGCCAGAGCTCAAATCCCATGTCACTGGGACATCAACAATAGTGCTATGGAGAAGACTCAGGTTGCCGGCTCTTGAGTCACAATCACAGAATTAGAATGTGGAAGTAGCTACAGAACCCAAGGAAGCCCTGCTTTCTGATAGCCACACTCAATGCAAGGCTGCCTGTTTCACCCTGGAGGTCTCTATATCAGTGGAGGCCACCCCTCAACAGCCAGCTCTAATGTTTGTGTACCCTTTTGCTTATATTGTCAACCAATTTCTAACCACAGTAAAATAACCTAAGTATACCTCTCCTTGAAAACATCAAAACATTTTCTCAGCAGACAATTTCAATAAAAACAATTCTTGTGGATTTCCTTAATTTTTTTTTTTTTAACTTCTACTGATTCTTACTGTTCCTTTTTAGGAACTCTCCAGGTTTTCACTTCCTACATTCTTTCAAGAGTATAGTGCCTACAACTGGAGAATGATCATCTAAGTATGACTAATAAATTTAGTATCATGTTGTATTACCTTTTAATACATAATAAATAATATATCTCAATGCAATACTTGCTTCCTTTCCCTTGCAGTAGCAATGTGTAGGGGTTTCATTTAATATGAAGTCAATTTTTACCTTCCAAACTCCCATCCCACCCACCTTTGCTTGCACTGATGGGAAGACTCAGTCTATATCTGGTTTGCCCACATTCCTAGGCTATAGACTTCTGGGGCTCCCAATCTGAGAGGCACCATTTTTTTAGAAGGTACTGAATTTTAATTTCTGTCTCCTTTGCATCCTTACCAATGCAAACTGCTTTCAGCCACTCTCTGCTAGCCTCTCACCAGCACAGAGCTGAATTCACAAATGCCTTGAGGGGAAAACGTTTACCAAATGTTCAGGTCACATCTCAATTCACTCTAGAATCTTGGCTTTTCAAGTCAGAATACCAGGACAGCTTCACATGTCTACCCATTCCCCAACCCCATGAGGTTACTTAAAGTGCTGCTGTTTTCTCTGATTCCTAACCACTGCCCTCTCCCCAGCTTCTCAGCCTCTTGTCCCTTGCCAAGAACTAGCAAATGCCCTGAGGGGAAAAATTGTTTAATTCCAATGATCTTCTCTCTTTCTCTCTCTCTCTCTCCCTCTCTCTCTCCACCCCCGTTCTGTAGCTGGCCCTATGGGTCCTAGCTTTTCAAAGACTTCAAACAGTATTCCTTTAAACAAGATTTTATCTACTTCTTTTCAAAGGGAGTGCTGGTTTGCTACAAAACTCTATTGTAACTGAAAGAGGAAATCTACAAATTCCAGGTAAATCAAATTTTCTTACCTTGATTTCTGAAGAAAAAAAAAAAGAGAAGAGGCCACTGGTAGGTACATACTTGCATTTTTCTTGTAATACTTAGGTAAGTCTGAATGGGTATTAAAGGCTCTTGCTAGAATCAAGTGCAAAAGATTGTCTACCATGAACTAAACAATCATGCCTGCCCAAGGTCCAAGAATTTGATAAGGTTGGATCCAGTCCCCTGGTGCACTAACAGAGATCCTGTAGGGGATAGAATCCTCCTATAGAATTCTATGTCTGCACTTTGAGTAGATCCTTCAAGTAACCAGTTTTTCAGACACCTGGCCATTAATGTGGGGAGAAGAGGTCAACTAAACCATTGAACATTTCTAATTTATTTTAGGGAATGTTGAAAGTTCTCACTGGCACAGTTAGAAATGAAAACAAAGACATAATAATAATAATAATAACTGTTTGAAGAGCATTATCATATGACTGGCATGGTTCCTAAGTGTTTTACTGTCTAGTAACTTATTTAGTCCAAGTAACAACCCTACAAGATAGTGTTGATTTTTTTGTTTGGTTGTTGTTGTTGTTGCTGCTGTTGTTTGAGATGGAGTCTCTCTCTGTCACCCAGGCTGGAGTGTAGTGGTGTGATCTTGGCTCACTGCAACCTCTGCCTCCCGGGTTCAAGCGATTCTCCTACCTCAGCCTCCTGAACAGCTGGCTGACAGGCCCCCACCATCCTGCCCAGCTAATTATTGTATTTTTAGTAGAGATGGGATTTGACCATGTTGGCCAGGCTGGTCTCAAACTCCTGATCTCAGGAGATCTGCCTACCTTGGCCTCCCAAAGTGCTGGGATTACAGGCTGAGCCACCGCGCCCAGTCGATAGTGTCGATTATTATAACCCCTTGTTGCAGGTGAGAACATTGCACTGAAAGACTGAACTTACCTTTCCAAGGGTCCCATCATCTCTATGAGATTGAGAGCCAGGACTCATCCAGACCCTTGCTCTGAGCCATTAGGCTTGGTGGGAACTAAGTAGATCTCACTAAGACGCACATTCCCTCCTTCTTGCTCAGTGTGCAAGATTTCGAGGAGAAAATGGAAATTAAAAGTAAGACCTACAAGATGGCTATTATTTTAAAAAGAGGGAAAGAAAATTACCAGTGTTGGTGATGATGTGGAAAAATTGAAACCCCTGTGCACTGTTGTTGGGAATGTATTAGGTTGGTGCAAAAGTAACTGTGGTTTTTGTCATTACTTTTAATAGCAAAAATTGCAATTACTTTTGCACCAACCTAATAAAATGGTACAGCTACTGTGGAAAACCATATGGTGGTTACTCAAAATATTAAAAATAATATCACATGATCCAACAATTTTACTTCTGAATATATACTCAAAAGAACTGAAAGCAAGGAATCAAAGAGATATTTGTTCACCTACATCAATAGCAGTATTACAATAGCTAAAGAATGGAAACAACCCCAGTGTCCAACAACAGGTAAATGAATAAACAAAATGTGGCAAATACCTGCAATGGAATATTATTCAGCCTTAAAAAAGAAAAGAAATTCGGACACATGCTACAACAGAGATGAACCTGAAGACATTATGCTAAGTGAAATAAACCAGTCACAAAGGGAAAAATACTACATAATTCTGCTTATATGAAGTACCTAGAGTAGTTAAATTCGTTAGAGACAGGAAATAGAAAGGTGGTTGTGCCAGGGGATAGGGAGGGAAGAATGGGAAATTAATGGGTATAGGGTTTAGGAACTTTAGTCTAAGAAAGTAGAATATTGGATGCCAGAAATTCAGTTTTCTTTCTGTTCCAAGATCCCCTTTAGCTAGAGCAATATATTGAAGTCAGAGTTCTTAGGGAAAATCATTGTGTATGGAGATCATCCTGTGGATCAAATGTGACTCAATAGTAGATCAAAAGATATTCCACTTTTGCAGATATTGACACCTGTTGGACTCACAGGATTTTATCTAGTATTAGATAGATAAGATGTGAACCACTTCCCAACACTGCAGACTCAAATACTAGGAAATACTAAGAACCTCAAGACAAACAAATAGCCAATCCAAAAAGACTCACAGACTAGATAAGCTGTCAGCTACCACCTAACAGATAATGTATTCCTGTTACCCACTATCCCCAGATGTTCATTTCATAAAATCAAAAACAGAATTCCATATTGATCACTGATGGGAAAAAATAGTCAACAATGTACAAATGGGAGAGAGAAAAAATACTTGTCTAAGAATTACATTTAGTGTCTAAAAGTCAAATAGCTCAATTTCTGCTCATGAGATTCAACAGATGAACTGAGGGAACATATGCCAATAACTCTGAGATTACAGGTCTACATGGAATGCCCGTAAGGTGCAGGATTCTATTAGCTGTGATGATATGTCTCACGTGGGCAAATCTTTGTGGAAATAGCAGGAAAAAAGAAAAACTGTCAAGGAATAATATAGAGACAGTGTGATGGTTAATTTTATGTGTTAACTTGGCTAGACCACAGTGCCCAGGTATGTGGTCAAATATGATTTCAGAGGTTTCTGAGAAAGGGTCTTTTGGATGAGAGTAACATTTACATTAGTAGACTTTGAGTAGAGCAGGTTGTCCTATGTCATGTGGGTGGACCTCATCCAATCAGGTGAAGGCCTGAATGGAATGAGATTGACCTTCCTAGAAGAAGAGGAAATTCTACCAACAGAATATTTTAGGACTTGCATAACAACTCTTCCCTGGGTCTCCAGCCTCCCTGCCTCGAACTTTCACAATCATGTGAGCGAATTCTTTAAAATAAATCAATAAAAATAGATAATAGATAGATGATTCTGTTTCTCTGGAGAACCTTGACTAATATAGATAGCATACTAATTCACCCTTGCCATTTACAGAGGAAAGAGTGGAGTAATAAATATCAGACACCAATAACGTTTTTCTTCCCTTGTGAAAGCTGCTTGGCACAAAGCTATTACGGGCGCGGTGGCTCAAGCCTGTAATCCCAGCATTTTGGGAGGCCGAGGCGGGTGAATCACGAGGTCAGGAATCGACACCATCCTGGCTAACCCGGTGAAACCCCGTCTCTACTAAAAAATACAAAAAATTAGCAGGGCGAGGTAGCGGGCGCCTGTAGTCCCAGTTACTCGGGAGGCTGAAGCGGGAGAATGGCATAAATCCAGGAGGCGGAGCTTGGAATGAGCTGAGATCCGGCCACTGCCCTCCAGCCTGGGCGACAGAGCGAGACTCCGTCTCAAAAAAAAAAAAAAAAAAAGAGGTGACTCTAGCCTGGTCTTCTCCAGACCTACTCACCACAGAAACAAATTATAGCTATACAAAATATCTTGAAGGTTTAGCTGAAGAGATGGGGAGATACCCTACTGCTCAATGTCCCTCATGTCACCTGTTGTACCTCCCCTTAGTTAAGTCAGGAGGGCAACACTCCTTTTATTTTTTATTTTATTTTGTATGTTTGTGCGTATGAGATGGAGTCTCGCTCTGTGGCCCAGGCTGGAGTACAGTGGCATGATCTTGGCTCACTGCAACCCTGCTTCCCAGGTTCAAGTGATTCTTGTGCCTCAGCCTCCTGAGTAGATAAGATTACAGGAAAATCAGCCGGGCGCGGTGGCTCAAGCCTGTAATCCCAGCACTTTGGGAGGCCGAGACGGGCGGATCACGAGGTCAGGAGATCGAGACCATCCTGGCTAACACGGTGAAACCCCGTCTCTACTAAAAAATACAAAAAACTAG